ATGTCCTAGTTTATGTTTTAACTCTCCACTAAATATGATTCTTTGTATATAATAAGTACTTATAGCTCATGGGATGATTGTGTTTAAGGCTGGACTACTAACCAGGCTTTGATTTGAAGGCCCAAGTTACAATTGATATGGCTTAGTGGCTGGGTGGCTCCTGAAGGGTTAGGGTTAGGGTTGGGGTTAGTGGTGGCAGTGGCCTAAGAAATGAGTGTGTCCCTGAGATGTGTATCAGTGTGTTTTCCTTTTAGTAATATACTCCCCCCACTTCCTTTATGAAAAGCATATGGAAAGCATGGCCTAATAGGTAGAAAGGCTAAGAGAAATGCAAGCAGAGGGAGGTAATGCTCCTGGTTGTGGTAGGCTAGTCTGCAGAAGTGTTTTGATTCTCTGAATTAGTCAAAAGATTGAAAAAAATAGCCACTACTACTATAGGAAAAAAAATGAGGAGGAAGTGTCCTGAAAATGGTATCTGAGCAATGAAAGACAGTGAATGTTTTAAAGATCACTGAATTTAATTTATTCAACCTAAATGCATAAAAGTACAGGTGGGGACATTATTTATGCAGGTATATGCAAATCACTTTATAAAATAGGCAAAGCCCTTCTGCTTTTTGTAAGTTGCCAAGGTGGTTCCTGATATTTTAAAAGCTCTGCACCTTTAATGTAATTTCCTAAGAGTTGGAATCCCTCTGTCAGAATCATAGTCATTGTCAGAGCAAGTTTATTTTTTTTCTCTCCTCTGGGACATTGACAAGGCTCTCATAACCATCACAAAAAGAGTGGTTTCCACAGCGATGTGACTGGAAAAAATCACTTGGAAATCACAGAGGAGCAAGTCACAATGTTCAAAGCAGAGAGCATAGGCTTTGAAAACATGAACCCATCTGACCTCTTGAATTTAGAACAGTGAATTCCTGAGCTCTGAAACATGGGGCCCGGCTGTGCATGCCATATTGGTGCTATAAGACTGGCAGTAGGTTGGCTGTGGCATGGTCTATTTCAAACTCCTTCACAGTGCCCAGTGTTGCATGTTCCCAGATGACATTTGGTTGGCAGAAGCCGGGCCTCCAAAGCTGGCAGTCTGGAATGCAGCCCACTGTGTTTTGACAAACACATAATTGACCATCTGATCACCAGCCTACGTTCTGCACTCAGGTCACTGAAGGGACCTGGGCTTTCAATAGGTCTCTCCTCCTTATCTTGTTCATCTCCTCAAACCTTTCTCCAGAAAGTAGTACAGAGAAGACTTAAACACACCCACAGACATCCTCTCATTTGCAAAAAAGAACATGGTACATGCAACATAAGCTGTTGAAAATTTCCTTTAAATTGTCCTGGCAGCCCAAAGTGAACAAGAGAAAAGCACACTTATGGTGAACTCTAATTCAGAAAGAAGGAACAAATATACTGCATTGTTTCAATACCCGGCTGTGCATAAGTTGCAATTCAGCTCAGTGGCTTGGAACTTCTCCTCAGAAAAGGGCAGCAGTGGGAAAATGATAGGAAACTGGGGCAATGATTGACTTTAGGGGCATATTATTAAGAAATGGTTTCATTTTCAGGTGAAAGAAGAGAAAAGCAGGACACTGGCAATGTCCTCTCCTTTTCTGCCTGCCACTCCCCCAAGGCCACTATGGGAGAGAGAGACACACATCTCTGGAGAGCGGTAGGTCAGACTCAAGTTGAGGTCTCTGGTGAAGGTCCCATAAAGGTCTATTTTGGCCTGAAATTTGGCCCCAAACAACACATCATCCTTTCTCCTAGAAGGCAAGGATTATGCACGGGGCCAAGCCAGGCTGGCATTAGGCAAACATCAATGTCTATGTCAGCACTACCGAATCGCCCCTCCCCTCCACTCCCAGCCCCACCGCACAGTTCAGGCCCTTGGTTTTCATCTGTGATCTGGTCTCCCTTTTCTCAGTCACCAGAATGCTCTTCTTCTAAAACATAAATCTACTTAAAATCCTTCAAAGCCTCCCCAAGCCTGCTGCTTCCAGTCCAAACTTCTTTGCTCGGCATACAAGGCCCTCGTGATCTGCCTCCTGCCCACTTTCCAGCCTCATCTCCTTTGAAAGGATCCCCTTTCAATCACCAAGCTCTAGCCACGAACTCGGGATGAGGCTGCTGCGCAGATACCTTCTGACTTTCCTCTGGCTTTTTTTCTGATTATGATCCCCTTTTGTTTTCCCCTCCTCCCATCCACCTGGTAAACTACAATTCACTCTTTAGACTTTCAGGCCCAGCTTGGGCACCTCCCACATACAGGCGGGTGTTCCTTTCTTGTTCCCCTAGCTACATCTTGTATATACCTCCATTCCAGTGCCTATCACATGGCATGGCCTTTATTTACTATATATCTCCCCTACTGGACTGTGAGATTTTTAACAATGGGGAGCATTTCTTATTTATATAGCAGTTTTAGGAACTGAGCATAGTGACCAGTTTTCCATAAATGTTTGTTGACTGAAAACTGAATGAAGAGCTGTGCATGATAATCAATCAAAACCTAAGCCAAGCAGTAGTATTAGCTTCTAGAAGCAGGGTAGGGGCCTACTAGCAATCTAATGAAGGCAGAAGACCCCAGCAGTAAGGCACTTTAGATGGTTATCACAGGGTGAAAGGAAGAGTGAGGGATAGAGGGTGTGATGGAGGAATGTCTTATTAACAGAGAATGTAGGCAGTTAATTTTCAGCCTTTTCAACATTTAGTTTTCAATATGGAAAGGTGTTCTGAGAATGAACCTTAGTACGAACTGTAGAGAGGTCTACCTTTTAAGAACCTAGTTTCTCAAATAGGGAGAGTCTGTGCTATCTGCTTCAAGGCAGCATGGCAGGTTATAGAGGGCTCCTCTTTGCTCTGCTAAAGATTAATGGGATGAAACACTTTTGGGGGAACATCTGGAAGCTATTCAGCTCCTATTGAAATCTGTGTCAAATGCAGACTGGGACTTTGGACTAAATGCAGTGCCGAGGAGAAAAAAGTTGAACAGGCAGAATGCTGCACCTGTCTGGAGGAGGCCATTAAAGAGGCACTAGGAACTAGAAGCACTGGGGAGATAATGTTTTGATCTGTCCCCAAGGAACTTTTCTTCTCCCTTTGATGGGCACCTGGGGCACCACCTCTGGAGCCATCAGCTGTGTCTGTGGGGCACTTGAGGACAGCAGGACTGTCATAGGCCCTGTCACCTTTGAAATAAAGGCAGTCTCAGGATTTGGAACAATCTAAGCAAGCATGAAGCCTGGCCTGGGGGGTGGGAAAAGGTTAGTGGATATGTGGATGGGCTATTAGCCCATTCAGGTCATTTGCTCAGCCTCCTCTCTGGTTAAAAATTTGGATCTCTCTAGAAGCTGTGAGATTGATGGTTGATATAGCATAGAATCAGCTTCACATTTTCCTATGAGCCAGAGACAGCCTTTCAATTATGTTTTTTATCTCAAAGGTCTCCCCTCGATTTCTAATCTGTGACCCAGGTCTCCAGGCTGCTGCACTGCTTATGTCTGAGGCTTGCCCTCCAGTGCTGACGTCATAATAGCTGAGCCGTGTGGGCAGAAGTGCACGGTGCTGATTCATCCCCGGTGATGTGAGGATTAATGCCTTGTCTAACACAGAGCTATTATGTGAACTGTTTTTACACAAAAGAACTGCAACAAAAATGATTTGCCAGTCAGAGGACTAGAAATATGCAGTGCTAGGTAACTGGAGTCGGGATGCAGAGACGTAAAGTGGTAACCACATGCATGCACGCTGACACCCTCCGAAGCACTGACAGACCCACTCTATCAACACCAAGAATGAGGAATAACAAGACTTGTCAGGGGCAGAGAGGACCCACCCCTGCTGTATAAATGCATTACACACAGCACCGGTCTCTGGGGATTTTAATCAATCTCCTCTCTCTGTCAAATAAATGTCACTTTAGACTTCAGCCTTAGCATCCTTTGGAAGATTCTGCTCCCCTACATATATTTGCAACTAGATTCTAGGAATGTGAGTGGAAGCCACACGCAAGCAAGAGTGCCATGGGAACCTCCTTTCTTTGCAAATGATTGCAACACAAGAAACACCTCAGAGTGTGAAGGAGCCAGTGAAGATGGCATGCTCTGAATAAGGGACAGCGTTCACCAGAGAGTGAGAAGCAGCTGGAAGGATGCTGATAATATTTATCACGTGAGGTAACTGCCACTACCTGTAGCATCTCTTGGGTGGTGTCTCAGGTAGTGACTTTGATTATTTGGGCTCGTGGCCCCAGAATCTCTTTCAAGCAGCTCAAGGTGAAATTTATACAAACCAACTCAGTGCAGCCTGATTTGGGCTTTAAATTATAAATGTTCTCTCTTCACCTGAAATCAAGTTGTTGTTGTTGTTGTTGTTTTCTCCCCAAATGACTTTCCATCTTTTCTAAAAAAAGAATGGTACCTTCTATAAACCTCCTGGCATATGATTTCTCTCTCTCTCTTTTTTTTTTCTCTGTACTTTACTATTTCACACACAATTTTAGCCTAGATCACTAAAGTTTTGTACTTCAGTCTTGTACCTCCTGTAAAAGGATACTAGAAATTTTGTCCAAAAAATGAAAGCTCTGATCTAGAAGTTGAAATTAAAAACGATTGGGCCTAGGGATGGGTGTATAACTGAAGAATAAATAATTGCCCATTGATTGACAGTGGAGCAAAAGCCCAACTGTGGCTGGTATCTGACTGAAGAATGTAAGCTGTAGTTTAGAAGAGCAGTGACTGTTGCAAACAGCAGCCGTGGCTGAGTCAAAGGAAGTCTTCATATAAGTCCAGTGGCTTGGGCTGCTGGTCTTTTCAGCCCCCTCATGATGGCAACTACTACTACCGCCAACAGCATTGACTCCAAACACAAAAGAAGATAATACACACTGAAGAAGCACTGGAAACCACAACAATGTCAACTGGAGAACATGCCAATAAAGACCCAAATTTCCCAAATCTGGTGCTTTTTTGAAAAGGAAAAAAACCACTTTTACTTACATGAAGAGAAGGGGCAGGCCACAGAATGACGGTCAAGGAACTGAAAATCAAAGACAAAACAAGGAATTAAAAATAAACCCAATGATACTGTGGAGAGAAGGAAAGCAAATCTAAGTTTAGACAGGACTAATTGCTCCTAAAGCATGAGCAGTAAGAGCCCATTTTGTCACCTGGAGCCCAAGAAAGAGGAGATTCAGCCTCGTAAAATTTCCAAAGGTGTGACCTGCTGCTACCTGACCAATACAGAAGGAGTGCCAACCTCTTTCTTTGTCAGCTTCATTCTGATCGAAATCATATGAGCATTACCTAGAGCTGCGCTGTTCAATACAGTAGCCACTAGCCACATCTACCTATTTAAATTTAAAATATTTAAAATTTTAGTTCCTCAGTCTACTAGTCACATTCCCAGCGCTCCACAGCCACCTGTGGCTAGTAGCTGCCTTACAGATAGAACGTTTCTATCGCTGCATAAATATCTATTGGGCAGTACTGATGAGAAAAGATAAAAGCTTTACTATGTAGTGCATGACAGATCTTAGCTAATTTTGACGAAGATGAGTGAAACTGATAAACTTTGCTTCTTTTAAGGGTAGATTTAGTATGTTTAATGCCCAGAAGATACTCTGGGCAAATTCAAAGCCTCCATGTATTGTCAATTGTTAGCTGAGGACTGCTACTGCCTTGTCTACCCTGTCTCACCAGCCTAAGAGTGTCCCCTCTGACAAAATGATTTTAAACAAAAGCATTTGTCCCCCAAAATGCATTTCTAATAATGAAAACTTCAGGTTTGGGGGGAGTTGACCTTAACAGTTTCTCATTCTATATTTCAAGTCTGATAATTCTCCTTTGTAATCTTCAACACACAAGCCAAATAAGTGATTATGGGACTGGCCTGTTTGCCACTGTTTTGATAGCTTTTCTTACAGAAGAATAAAACTGAAGTAACAGAAGATCCAAGAGAAATTAATAAACCAAACAAGGGTGCTGAGAAGACAAAGCAGGTCTCCCTACCCGACCCAACTCAAATATGTCAAGGACTTAACATACACTGATTGAATTCTTGTCTCTCTGACACCATGATTTTAGCCACTTCACATATGGCCTTCAGAAATATGAAAAACAAACTGTATTAAAAGAGATCAAGTACAAGGACCTGACTAAAGCATAGAATAAGGCTAAAGTAGAAAACTGGCAATTAGAGACTTCACTTCTCAGCAAGTTTTCTGGGAAAATGCACCATCATAGAGGTTCCTCCAAAGAAAAAGTTTTTCCTTTTATGGACAAGGTGAAACCCTGTTCCATGAACATGCAGGAGTGAAGTATGTTGTTCCCCTCTTTGGACAAGAAGAGTTAAGATGAAAATCTGCAGCCTGGACCATAATGTATGCCAACACAAGAGAGGCTGGCTGGCCGTCTCCAATGTTTTTAAATTGTTTCACAAAATTGATGAGCTTAATGAAAATTTTAAGCAAGATAATTAACTTATGTATGATTCATTGAAAGTACACACAAACTTGAAATACGTACATATATATATATATATATATATATATATATATATATATATATATATACCAACTAGCCTCAACGACTTTAAAGCTCTAAGTTTTGCTACATTCTCGTCCCTTCCGCAAGCTAGGATCCTAGACAACTTCACTGGTGCATCTTTTAAAAGCTTTTCCCTTCCTTCCTTTCTTCTTTTCTTCCTTCCTTCCTTCCCTCTCTCCTCCCTTTTTTCCCTACCTCCTTCAACCTTTCTGAGTTTTCTTTCTTTCCCAGCCCTTGAGAAAATGGAGAAAAATATGATTAGTGGTTATCTGTGCAATATGCTCACTTATTTTTCTGTTGCATGTTATAAACCCAGTAGGTCTCAATAATAATTATGCTCTTTTTGAACTATACTTAGTATTTATGCTCTTATATCTAAGAGCATAACTTTCCTTTCTAGGAAAGGAGTATTTATTCATAAAAGTTAATCAGTCAAAATTAAATTTTTGATGTGATCAAAAGAGATCAATGTAAACTGTATCCAGATTGATTAATACATCCAAGGTCTGGAATGAAAAGCTATCTTTCCTGGATGTCAAATGACACACAGGCTGTCAATGACAGGAATCCAAGATGGAGAGAAAAATCACAGTGTGTATGTCACAGTCTAAGACAAATTAAAGCCAAGTTAAATTGAAGAGTTTATTGGATATAATTGTTGTCTTTATGTATTAATGAAAAACAATACTATCTATCCCAAATTTAATACTAAGGCTAAAAATTTAATCTCAGAGTTCTTATACAATTTATAAACATTCATAAATGTCAAAAGGCCCCGTTTCTTGATTGAATTACAATCTGCTATGCAATTTTGAAAATATGTATTAATCTACATGGGTTTATTTTTGTTCAGTTCAAATTGTTATTTTATTGATATGTGCCCTTTCTGCCTAAGTGATATTCACCTTGTATGTCTATAAATTGTTTTCATCTGAAATGCAAAGAATTATCTATAATAGTTTTGCATAAGGTTAAAAACATTTTCATTAAGCATGCTGGGTTCAAAGCACAAATATCTAGCCAAGAATATAGAACTATAAAGCCCAAAATGAATCAAGACCTTAAAACCTGGTCGGGGAGGCAAGAGTAGAGAGGGGGAGAAGGGGTGATTTGTAGTGAAGTCTAGTTTTAGTTTTGTGATTTCTGAGTAGAAATTATTATATAGTATCAATCTCCAAGGAACTGAAAGTATTATTAACTGTAACTTAAAGATTAGTCCATTCTGAATTCCATTTATGTTCTACGGCAATGGTTCCCAACATTTGAGGTGATACAGATCCCTATGAGAATTTCTCTTCCCAGAAATTCTTCAAAAACACCAAGTTTCAAGCATCTCCCAAACTCCATGAAGGTCTTCCAAGAATTCCAGGTTAGTAACCCTTGGTCTAAGGGGAGAGGGAAGAAAATGCTCTTTCAGTCCCCCTACTCATCACCTCTAGGATGTTTTAACAAGTTGCTATAGAGTTAAAGCCAGGAGTAAATGAAATGTATAGAAAATGGATCTCTACATGGGTGAGTGTGTGTCACTAGAGACACACAGACTCCTTTACAGGACTTCCAGACTCTGACTTTCCTAGTCCCTTATAGCTTCTTTTTTAAAAAGTCTATAGAGCCTTAGGAACAATGAGGTAGAGGAATAGTGAGCAGAGAAATGATAATAAGAGTTACTATTCACTGAGTACTTTCTGTGGTTCCAGGCATCTTAAGTAAATGTTTCTTAAATTTGAATATGGGTATACCCAGGGAGGTGGAGCAGTGTGACAAGAGTGTGCAAAGCCACAAAATAAATAATAAAGACACGGCTGTCTCTTTAGAGGGTCAGTTGTCTTTGTGACTAAGTAATTTAAACTCTTATTTGTATATGTACTCATTTATCCAATAACTATTTCTTGGACGTTATAGAAAAAAAGAACAGATCCTGTTCTCGTCCTCATGGAACTTCCAGTTTAGTGAAAAAAACAAGGATAAATTGAGGGGTAGAATGCAAAATGTGTACGTATTTTTTAGGGTGAAACCTGAGACCTCACTGAAAAGCCTCATTTGCAGCAGACTGTTTCAGGTGATGTCCAGGCACCCTGAATATTGGATGCTCACCTTAGCTTGATGATCACCTCCCTGGAAGAGTTTGAAAAGCAGCATTAACAGTATATCATTTAATCCTGACTACAAGAGTAAATACTATTACTTCCACTTTACCAGAGGAAAAAGGGAGGTTTGAGAAATTAGGAAACTTACCCTAAATCAGACAGCTGCTGGGATCTGAATAAGTCTGTACCATTCTGAGGTCTGCATATTTATAACCCTTAAGTTCCAGTACCTCTAGGTGTTTCCCACTTTATGTTTGCCCTTGAAGTCTGGCCTCATTAAGAATTTTGTAGGCTAGTTTAAGTTTCTCCTTTGGAAGGAGACAGTTTGGGCTTGATTTGCAGTCTAGATATTTCAGGGTGGTAAGGGAAAGCTACTATTGTACCCATTGTTTGGTGCAGAAGCTGAGACACTTGACAGCTGAGGTACCTGGCTGGGTTAAAAAAGGAGTCTGGGCTGTCAGTCTCTCGTTCCTCTTGACTGACTCCAAGCCTAGGCAATGGTACTGTCCAAGGGCTTTTCCGCACGTGGGATTCACACTGGCTGATAAAGAGTGGGAGAAGCTTTGCTAAGGGAAAATAATAGTGCAATAAAAAAAATGGAAAATAAGTAATCATAACTCACTCACAACAACTGGTTACTTTCAGCATTGTGAATCGAAAAGGGAGAGCTTATTCATCACAAATGAATCAGAAAATTAGAATGTGTCACAGCATTGATGACAGAGCTGAGGAATTCAGATGAACTGAAGTTCAACACTTATCCTTCTATCTGAAGAGGGTAAATGATGTGACAACAGGACAGAAAAGACCTCTTAGACATGCCTTTAATCCATCCAATTTTTTTTTTCAACTACTTTCTCTAGCAGTTAGGTGGGTTTATATCTTTGTTTTCTATGAGCAGAGATAACATTGTAACATCCTTTTAATGTTCTAGAAGTATTGTGTTAATTAATTCTTATGTGGGAGTCATTCCAAATAGTAGGATGAAGATTTTTACCTTACTGATTTTCCTAATACCTTTCTGGCTTCCAGTGTTTTCAAAGGATGAGGCCCTATTGGGTTTTTAGATTCATATGTCTCAGAATATGTGCCAGCTTCATAGGTTCCCGTCAATTGATATTCCATCTTCACTCTGGATACATGATTTCCTTTATCTGACAGATTCAAGGAATTTTATGCTAGATATAATGACATTTCATGCACCCTGAATTTGGAGGTTTTTAATTCTCTATTTTCTACCTGGCAAAAGATTTATAAGTTAAAGTCAGATGGAAGGCTTATTCAGATGTGCATACAAAACACGCTCAATTTCCCTTTAGGTACTTTGGGGTCTCCTGCAAGTTTCTTGAAGTGTCTTCATTCCTTTGGTCAGTCTTAAGGAGACTGACTATAAATGCCATTAATG